TTCTGCTTTAAATAAATAAATAATAAAAATAGTTTATTAAAAATACAGCTGCATGCATTATGAATAAAATATTCGTGTCTGGTCCAATCGGGTTCGGGCAGAGAGTCAAATCTCTACTCAAAGGTCAGAGTTCAGCTGATAAACAAGTTTGCAATTAAAACTACCAGCGGATGTTCTGTGTCATGAAATTCACTGACTCTTTTTGTCTACTTCTAGAGAAACACACCTCCAACATGTCCCTTCTCACTCACCTGTTGGCGTGTCTGTTCGGGATGGGCTCCTGGGTCTCCATCAACGGCCTGTGGGTGGAGCTGCCCCTCATTGTCCCACAGATCCCAGAGGGATGGTACCTGCCCTCTTACCTCTCCGTCCTCATCCAGATGGCCAACGTTGGGCCTCTCTTCGTCACTCTGATGCATCGCTTCCGGCCCGGCGCCCTGAATGAGACCGCTGTCATATATGTGATCATCGGCCTGGGTACCGTGGCGAGCTTCCTGATGGCTTTCTTCTGGAAGGAGACTGTTGTTGTCGCCGGTCTTCCTCGCAGCGTAGCCCTCTTGGTCTTAACTTTCTTCCTCTCTGCTGTTGACTGCACTTCCTCCGTCACCTTCCTGCCCTTCATGATGCGTCTCAAGCCCCAGTACCTGACCACCTACTACATAGGGGAGGGTGTGAGTGGCCTGCTGCCTGCTCTAGTGGCTTTGATCCAGGGTGTTGGGGTGATGCACTGCATAAACAGCACACAGTCTCTGAACCACACCCTGAACACCTCCAACAGTGCTTTGACCTATGACCTCCAGGCCCAGTATCAGCCGGCCAACTTCTCAGCGGAGGTGTTTTTCTTCTTCCTCAGTGCGATGATGCTGGTGTGCTTGGTGGCGTTCCTGCTGCTGAACTACCACCCATCTGTGGCCAGGGAGCATCCCAACGGTCGATACACCAACAGGGTGAAAGAGAAATCGCAGAAAAACAGGAAGTGGGCCGAGCAGAAGCCCATGATGGATCCGTACAGACCTGCGAACCAGAAGCAGAGAAGCAGCTTTGGCACTGGCTCTTACAGCTGGATGCAGGTGTTTTATATCTTTGTGATCCTGGCCTGGGCGAATGCTCTGACCAACGTGGTGCTTCCCTCAGTGCAGTCCTACTCATGCATGCCATACGGGAACAATGCCTATCACCTATCAGCCACCATGGCTGCTGTGTCAAACCCGCTCGCCTGCTTCATTGCCATGTTCTTCCCTATAAGGTCAGTGTGTTGTGTGTGGTCTGCTCACTGTTCACTTTAAGACACAATACTGGGCTTGAGGGTTTGATACAAAAGGAGTAAAAAAATTAACAAAGTCAGATTTATTTCTAGAACCCAAAATCACCCAAATTTTGCCTTGAAGCTTTACTATCTGGACCTGCAAGACCCTCGATCCTAGACCATCAGTCTGCATTAGGAAAAAGTCCCAAAAAACACCATTTAACTGGAAAAAGAAGAAACCTCTGAAATTTTTGAATCTTTTGGTTGTAAAATGTAAACAAACTGTTTAAGTTTCAATATACTTACTTTTATAATGTGTGTTTTCTTGTGTGCTAGGTTTAAATGCATAAAATGTATTTGTTTCAAGATACTGACAGCAATTTCTCCAAAAGTTTAAAATATTGGATTGGAAAAAGACTGAAATATTGTTTAGAAAAACCTAAATTAAGAATTAAATGGTATAAAAAATAATGTGAAAACTGTCAGAATGTGGTTGGAGTCATTCTCCAGTAGTGCTGAAACAGCTGTTTTTATTATTGGTTAACCCAGTGGTTCCCAATCTGGGCTCTGGACCCCCACAAGGGGTCGCTAAAGCATAAAAGATTAAATTATTTTAAAAGTTTAGATTTAAGATCTGTTGCGTCTCTGTAAATACATTTATAAGGAGTACGGTATGGACTGGCTCTTGAATTTGCCAAAAAGAAGCCTGTTAAGTATGCATGATTGTTAAAAAATTGTAAGACAAATAATCTGCTTAAAATGTATCCAAATTTCTCGTTTTATACAAACTTCCTGCAGTTATTGTGTTCACTATTTGAGTTCATTGTACAGTTTATTAGTTGTTCTGTACTGTTATTGTTATACACTGAATATAATGTGAAATATCCATAAAATATGTCAGTTAGAGAGGGGTTGTCAGTTTACTCAATGATAGAAAAGGGGTCCCTGAAGGAAAAATGCTGGGAACCAGTGGATTAACTGGTTTTATTTTCTCAATTAATTGATAGAGAGATGAGAACCCAAAGTGAAATATTCAAATCGCTTGTTTGTGCAACCAATAGTATAAAACCCAAAACACATTCAGTTTGCATTTATAATGCGGCAAATCCTTATCATGGAAAAGCTGCAACTAAATGTTTGGGAATGTTGCTTAAGACTAACTAACTAACTCAAAGCATTAATATAAATCATCAAAAAAGTTGCCACTTAATCAATCAGATTGTTTCAGCTCTACGTACAATCCAGTTGTCCACCAACATCTGGAGCAGGACAAACACATTTTAATATGTATATAAATATACATATATTGTGCCACAGTATACTGTATCTCCCTTTGTTGGGCATTTTTTGTTTTGATCCTTAAATGCAAACATTAATAGATCCTGTCTCTCAAATTAAACCCTGAAAAAGTAATGTGTCATTTCACAGATCCCTGCTGTTGATGGGAGCTCTCACAGTGACAGGCAGTGGAGTTGGAGCTTATATAATGGCCATGGCGGTGCTAAGTCCATGTCCACTGCTGGTTAATGAAACCACAGGTGGTGTCATCATTGTGAGTTGAAACACAACATACAGGCATCCAAAACAGTGAAAAAAACATCAGGTTTCAAACTCACCTCCCTCTGCTCCACAGGTGCTGGCCTGGATCCTCTTTGTTCTCACTCTGTCCTATGTGAAGGTGATCATCGGGGTGATCCTGCGTGACGAAGGCCACAGTGCTCTCGTGTGGTGTGGAGCCGTAGTGCAGCTGGGCTCCCTGCTGGGAGCTGTGACCATGTTTCCAGTGGTCAGTGTGTATAGCTACTTCTCATCAGGGGACCCATGCAACACAAAATGTCCCTAAATGAAGACTGGAGGCAGATACAGTGAGGGCTCGACAGGCGTCACATCAGTGTTCTGTGGATATTAAGGAGGAAGCCTGTTGATTTATTCACTTTGCAACATCTGAATCATTTCCACTTGTTACAAGAAAAGCAAACCACAAAGATACATAAATACAACATATAAGCTAGTTGTAACCTTACTGATCATCAAACTTTGCACATGTGGAAGTGGTGAATTTATGTAATAGATACAGTTTGGGTTGTATAAATCTACCCTGACAGCTGTATGTGTGCAGTGGCAATTATTAGGGATAAAGCAACTTATTGCCTCTTTTGTTACATACTTTTTCCTTGAATTGACAAATAAGCATCACTCACTTATGAGTGCTTGCCTTCAGGTCTTAGATTTGTTTATTTGATTGTTTATTCTGCTTAAGGTGTTGTGTGCCTTTCTGTTTATATTGAGAGTAAAAATATCGGACTAGTACAGTTTGTAGACAAATTTATTTAAGTTTAAATTAATGTTTGTAATATAATAATTCTGCAATCACATTCATGTTTTTTTTTTTTACATTGGCTTTAATCATATTGTTTACTATGTGGTGTCGCATTACACTATAAAGACATAATCCCATTTACGCACCTGTTGTCTTTATGTTGACCTGACTGGACACAAACTGGACAATCAGGTAACAGATGATCTCTTTTTAGAATGCAACATTGACCACTTTTGTCTTTCTTTGAATAAATAAAGTCAGTAAGTAACTAAACAAGATATGTTTTCATTACAAACACACGTCAAAATATTCAAATGACTGGTTGTTGTTTTGTTTAGAGCCCCTACGTAGCCTCAGTCCACCTACACAGGTGTTTTCCCTTAATTTGACTTCTGATGAGTCTGTGGGCATCTGCAAACTACACTTGACTGACATTTCCCTCTCCCCTGGTGCTTTGCTGCACCAGTTAAGGTGGAATAACTTATAGTGGTTTGCTTGTTCTTTTGTTTGTTGTATTCTTACATAGAGTTTGTGACAGCACTAAATTCCCAGTATAGCTTTGCTCACCAGAGTAGGGCCGTAGTGGTTGTTGCAATACTGACAATACAGTATATGGCCAAAAGGATGTGGAAAAGTATGTACACATGCAAGTGTAAAATATCTCACTCTAAAACCATGAGCATTAATCTGCAGTTTAACAGTCTCCTCTCTTCATTAAGACTCCCTATAAGATTTTGAAACCACGTTGCAGGGATTTGCTCCCATTCACACATTTGGCGATGAGGCCTGGTTTGTTCCAGTTCATCCCAGAGGTGTTAGATGGGGTTGAGGTGACGGCTCTGTGCAGGCCAGTCGAGTTCTTCCACAGCAAACTCGGGAAAACTTTCTGGTTTTGTCACAGGTGCACCCTTATAAACTATTGCCACAACATTACAGCAAACTATTGTCTAAAATATAACTTTATGCTGTAGCAATAAAAGGGTACCTAAAGGGCATACAAACAGCCTTTCACCAAAGGTATACACAAAAGTATAAAGAAAGAGGAGGCCACATAGTTATAGACATATGGTGTATTTAAATGCAAGGACAAAGTCTGATGTTGTGCCTACAGCTCAGCCTGAAACCATCAAATTGTAAAAGTCGGGATTATCTATAATATACAACAAACAAACAAATATTATTTTCATCAACATAGACATACAGCTGAATGCAAAAGAAACACTCTATCAACACAAACCTAATTTACATTTCATTTTCATAAGGTACTATCATCATATTTTCCATAATAATTTACATTTTGGCATTAGAGGCAGAAACCTACAAAGTCGGTCATGGAAAGTTTAACACAACCAATGAGATAATTTCTTATCTCTTAATGTTAAATCCACTGCCACCCCAGCCAAGAACATTGAAAGAAAAAAATCATCTGGCTTTCTTAAAGAAGTTGAACAACTTCCCCTGGGCGTAGAGGTAAAACATTGGATGCACAACACTTGCAACAGATAACAAAAATATACATAGAGGTGTAACAAGGCAGTTATATATATCTGCATCAAAAATAATACACCTTTGCATTAGAGTAACCGGAGTGTAAAAAAACAAAGTGATGTATGAAGTGGCACAGACAGTTTTAAAGGCTCTCTTCTTAACAGGGTGCAGTTTGCCTTTCCCTGGGCCGGACTTCTTCAGCGTCCTCGCAATGCTGCCACTGGACCGCACCACCATCACAGTCATAAACGGCAACACAAACATTGGGATCATTTTTAATGTTTGCTCTGTGTAAGGGGCGAGAGTCTCCACAACTAAAATATTTGCTAAAGCCAAGGGCACTGAAAAGAGCCACACTGTCACAGCACAAACCCCCCTGACTCTGTATGTCTTCAGCAGAGGATAAGACGTGGGGTGATTTACAGCAACGTATCTCTCCATGCAGATAAAAGACAGACTCATCGGGCCTCCGATTTGTGCATACACTAACAAAAACTTGAGTATTTTCATCTGGATGGTTGGATCCAAAAACAGGACACTTAAATGCACAATGGATATCAAGTACTGCAAGGTGTGGAAGAGGGCCAAATTGAAATTCAGGATATCTATCGTCTTCTTGGACGTGAAGGCGGCCAACAGCAGTTGGATGATCACTGGTTGTCCCAGGAGCTGAGGAAGGATATCAATCAGTGCGAGACCCACTAAATAGTCCGATCCAAGCTCACAGCTCTCAGGTTCGCTGGAGTTGACGGTGAAATTGCTGAATAAAACCTCCATCTTACTGGACTGGTGTGCAGAACTGAAAGAATCAAATCATCTGAGATAAGCTGCTGCTGGAGATTAGAAATATCAGATAAATACAGAGAGACAAACTGTAAAATTCATAAACATTGACTTCATTCATGTCTTAAAGTGTTTGACCTTGTAATTCTGTCAACTGATTTGATAGTATGCAAGTTTAGCTTATTCTCTTCTAAAAAGTAATACAAATGCACAAATGCACTAATAATTCAAACTTTTTCCAGTACAAATAAAGTTATTTAGAAAAACCCTATACACTAGGACCTTGAAACTCATAAAACAGATCAGAAAAATTATTCTCTAAAATGCATTAATTGGTTTAAAAGAAACCTGATAACAGACATTTCTTCCAGTGAAATAATGTTTTTTTTTAATTAAGTTCAATTGATGTATAATAAACAAAAATAATACACATTGAACTTCAGATTTGATATCAAACAACCAATATGTTTTCTGAGCTGTCAGTTAAACTTACAATCCTACATAATGTAACATTCAACACTCGTGAAGTCAGCACTTACCAGGTGTATTCAGTTGCTGCTCGGCTGTCACCAAAGAATGACCGGCAGAATAATCGACTCACTGAGTAAAAATAACTCTTGATTTTCCTAATGCACCTAAGACAGGTGAGAGGTGGAACAAGCAAAAACAACAAACTGTGATTCCAACACATCCTGATTTCCCTAACAGCAGAGTTTCCGTGTCGGTGGATGTCTGGCTGTTACACTATAGGGTATAAAAAACAAACAAACATACAAACACCAATCATTTATGAACTGTTTGACAGCGCTGAGATTCATTCATGTGTACAAACCAGCATAAATCATTTAGACCACAGGGTGTCAGTGTATTACAGCTCACACACTGCAGAGGAGAGGCCTTGAAGAGTAATATTACATAATACAAATAAAGGCTTTTGAAACAGTAGATGTTAAGACTGACTGATTTATTCTCACTGGAGTGATCGATGTGTGACAATGTTGTGAAATTAACGTTTTTTTAGCTTTAATTACACTAATATAGATCTGCAGAGAGGGGGTGACCTCTGTGGATGCAGGGAAGAGTAAGATGCTGTGTTTGTGATGGTTGGGGGGTTTAATGGATGTGAGATTGATTTCTGCTTTAAAGCTACGGTGGAAACAAGCTTGCATGCAAAAAGCAAGCGTGGAATTCTTTGTCAGTGGAGTTTTTCTCTCCTGGTGGTATCACATAGTAAAGTGCTGGTTCTCTTTTTGCTGTTTGGTTGCTTAGTGTATGTTTGTTCTCTTAAGCTACATTTTTAAACTATTTTAGAGATTCTCTACAGACTGTTTCTCATGTCCTTTTTGCATGATATTACCTGCAAGGACAGAGATCCAAAGCTATTTGACATCTGTATTACAGTGTGAAAAAGAACAATAATATTAAGTTGACTTAAATTAAGGATCCTTTCCAGACATGTATTAAGACAGGGATGTATAAAAATGATCTGCTGAGTACAATAATGTGTGTCTGATATGTTTTTTCCAGATTCATATCTGTAAAAATACATCTACTCCTTCTACCTTATTTTAAATGACAGAAACTATGAACATTTTGTTGATCTCTTGAAGTTTTCCTGCTGGAGACAAGATGTTTCCTACTTCACTGTAGAGTCTATTCTTAGGCCATGATTACACAATGCTGAAATCCAAAGTTCAGCATTCATACAAACACACTGAAAACGATCCTCATGCACACGGATCTGAAAAATGATTGGAGCATGCCAGACCAGTAGGTGGCGCTGTAACTTTGTTTTTTTTACTTTGTTATGAAATTAATGCGTCTCTGCTGATCACAGTAATGGTGCAGTAACTCTACACTTTGCTGGAGGAGCGTTTGTAAACACAAACACAGCTCGATATTGTTATTTTTGTTCTTCTGTTCGCGAATGACTACAGCGAATGGCTGAAAACGTAATAGTCATGAGCGACGCTGGACTGTGTCGTAATTATGGCAGTTTACACAGCAACAGTAACCATGGTGTTTGAAAAAGATTGCACTCAGGAGCCCGGTTTCAAAAGCTTGCCCCTTTCAGGCCCCCAAAACGGCGTTGCCACAAGTTTACCATTTTATGCAAAAATCATTGTTGTGTAAAACGGGCCTTAATGTATGTGCTCTAGTGGCTTCAAGTTTCTACATCACACTTGTATAAGTTGCAAACTGGACCAGGTTTGACTTCCAAACTATTTGTGATGTCACAATTTACGCTCGTAGGCCCCGCCCCCTTAAAAACCTGATTCTCAATGAGCACAGAGAAACTTTCCACTTTCAGCAGGTGAATGTGAAAACATCGTTCTAGTGTCAAACTCTGCACATACATCATCCTGCAGAGTGAAGATCAAACAATCAACTGTAGCAAGAAAAGAAGAAAAACATATTTTTGAGTGGAGGGACTTTAAGGTTTAAGCTGCAGTAACACAACTCCAAACAGCAGCAAAATCTAACAGACAATATTGAACTTTAACTTAAACCTTACTCTGTATGTGTAACATGCAAAACCACTGATATCGACAGAAAAGCAGGAAGCAACTTGTCCAAAAGAACAAATATTTGTTATTGTGTGTTTTTATGATCTGATCTGAGTATGTATTGACTGATTTCATGTTCTGTCTACAGTAAGACACAGATCATTCAGATTAAAGAGATGAAGCCTTATTTATTGACAAATACACAAAAAAAGATCACAAAGCAGAAATATGAGTTGTAGACTAACAATAACCTCCTCGGTAAACATTTCAGTATGGCTTCTTTCATGCCCTTCAGTTACAAGGATTAAGACTTATAAATACATATAAAACTGGGAACAAGTGTTTAAGCCCATTCAGTTTTGCTATAAGAGCGCAAACACATTAGTAGATTAACCACAGTATGTAGGTAAGCATGTAGAAGAAGCTGTATGATAAACATGAATAAACAGAGCACATGCGAAGAGAATAAATATGAAAATACAAAAACAAACATTAAAGAATTTATATATTTGTATTGCTGTTCACCGTTGTTATTCTTTGGATTAGAGACCTTCTCCGTTACAACTGTGCATGTTTACATTCTTTCAGAGACTAAATGCTACCTGCATGTTGCATAGCTTCCAGGTAAAAATAAAAGTCAAGCTTCGTCAAAACTGAGATGATTTCTTCTTTGATAAAAGTGAAAACCTATGTTACTGTAGCCAACATTTTACTCCAAAGTTCATGTTATTTTCAAGTCAGTTATTTTTTTATTTAAAAAATGACACAAAACGACTCCTTATTCTGTGACTACACACAGTTCTCTGTGCTGTAAGAGTGCATAAAGACATTTCTAACTCTATGAGGTTCGGGTAACTTATCATCTGGAAAGTTTAGCCATTGTTGCGTGACTTCAAGTGAGAGTAACTTGTCTTAATGGAACAACCACAAGTAACACCACAGGTTTAGTGGTTAAGTGCTTATTGTTGGCTGTGAATACAGAAAATGTATTCAATTTTAATTCTTCTTGATTTAATTTGTCCAAGCAAATGCCCATACAGACATGCTGACCAAATGTGATTTAAAGTGAGACTATGCAACTTTTGAAAGAAGAAATAACACATTCTTCCTTTTACAAATTCAAAGTTTACTCTAAAAGAAATAAAACTTCCCCTGATCAGTTCAATACACTCATATAGTCTGTTGCTAAAGCCGCATTTGTTCTGGTATGACCAGTAGCTTTTGGTGGCTAATGTCAGCTAATGTTTTTAATAGATATTACTGTATAACAGACATTTCTTTGTCAGTTTGTTGACTTTATGATCATTTTCTATTTGTGCTACACTGTCTTTAATTATTATTTGTAACCACAGAAGCCACTATTCAGCAAATGTTACATTATCTCGCTTTTAAAAATTATTGAACCAAACCCATATATATTTCTGTTTCCAGTCAAAAAAGGCACTTCTCTTCTAAACTGTCTCTCTGTAAAGCCCGATATGCAAACTGAAGCACTACAGATACTGTATATACAAATTACATAACTCATAGGCACCGAAACATTTACAAACTGCAGCAAAAAAGACATATAAAACAACCTTTGGTCCTCTAAAAGCATACTTTGTTGTGGGGGGGTTTCGGGATGGCAGGTTTGTTGCTACATACTCAATTTACATGTCTTAAAAAAAGTCAGTTATGTCATGTATTCCTTGGATAATTTCTGTGTAAAGGCATTTTATATGAAAAACAAGGCACGCGTTGGACCCTGGTCATCTGGACAATACATTTACATTTGTTCTCCTTGCATTTCCTTCTGCTGCTTCCTGCATGCTGTAGTCCAAGCATGAAAAGCATAGTGTCAGATTTATGTTTGGTGTCTCCCTTTGTTTTTGGTTTTCTGTGTCAGTTTTGGTGGTTGACGGGAAACTATGCGTGGCTGTGGACGGAGATGCTTGACAGGTCGTTCCTGATGATCTCGTTGACTGCAAAGGAAAAAGAGAGAAAAGGATGATCAGTACGTGAGACACTACTCAGGTCACATGGAGTAACGTCATCATGCCGACTGTGTGCATGTGCAGTGTAATGTTGAATGTAATATCTTTAAAGGCCCCGAAAACCTATTTTCTCAATTAGCATCACATTTTGTGCTGATGTTACATTACACACATTAGAGATGAGAGATTTGTGGGGATGGGAAAAAGGTGATGTCAGATATTTTCTTGCAGAGTCAGAATTTAAAAATGTTTGAATCAAAAACTGATGACTGAGTTGTTAACTTGTGGTTTCCAGGACAATCAAACCCACACACACAGTCCTGATGGAGTTCATCAGCTGAGTATTAAAGATATTACATGTAACATTTACACATTTAAAATGTCTATTAACACTATACTTTGTTGAGTTGTGTACTTAAATTATCCCAAATGTTTCCAACAAACAAACTTGGATAAATCTGTCATTTTATTAAGGCATTGGTGAGTTACACAGGTTGTCTGTCAATGGCATCACATCCCCTTTGTGCATGGGGACATTTTTTATCATAGACTGTTTAGATCTTGGTTGTTTTTAACTCTTTATTTTAACTGGATCAAGGATCACGTCTGGACTTTAAGTTATCAGAGGAACAAGCTGAGCTAATGTTAGCAGCACCTCAGCTCGCAGCCCCTCCAACTTTAAACTCTTAAAAAAAAAATAGCAGTCATTTTCCCAAACTTGCTTAGTTGCTGAGTATTCATGAATATTTTTTCAGGGCCTTTAAAAATTGCTTAAACCTGCATAAACTGATGTTCATGGCAGTGCAACAAGCTGTAAACACAACACTGACATATCATTAAAGAGAGAAAGTCCCTCCTCTTCTGGTGTCTCCAATGAGAACGGTACGGTATCAGTTACGAGAGAAATAATCTTTTGATCCCATTCAAACTGTGCCATGAATTACACATATGCATATATAATGAGGGATGCCACAGGTAGTCTTCCTGTTTGCAGCTCTGCAAAAGGAGAGTTAGTCGCTACTGTAAGAGCTAGAATGTGTCATTCGTGTGACTTTTGGGTTATAACTGGACAAACATTATATGTGTAGTTCATGGCACAATTCAGACGGGATCAAAAGATTATTTATCGTTAACTACGGCACATATTTTTTCAGAAACAAGGTCCCAAGTTGCTATCAATGTCTGTTAACCATTTGTCTGAGATTTGGCTGTAAATAGCTGCCACATGCTGCTGGAAACTACGCTGATAAAAGCGGTGAGACTGAACCAAAACAGGAAGATGGAAGATGCTCCACAGAACTGAGGGGAACTGCAGAGATAAGGGATCATTCTTTGTGGCTTCATCACTACAAGTGACACCTTTCACATTACACATAGTGACATTGTTAATATAAAAATATTTATTAGTGTAGCTTTAAGGTACCTTTTTTAGCCACTATGAATACAATTCTCTGAAGCTCTATAGGACCTGTTATTTCCTCTGAGCCAGCCTAATAGAATCACTCTATATCTGAGATCCCCAGACCTTTTTTTTTTTATCAAGAGAGATGATGCAACCTCCTGCTGTCTCTAAAGGATCCAGGTGCACTTGTTTATCTGTTTTTATCAGCTGTGTTCTTTGGCTGACGGAGGGGGTGATGATCCAAGAGCAACTGAGCAGGCAGGCTGAAGCTAAACCAGGGAAATATATAGATATCAACGTACTGATAACACAGAAAATGACAAATCACTGTTTTTTTTTATCCTAAAGGCGACTGAGACGGTTCATTTTTCATCAGCTTTCACCGTTCTTATCTGTGAACTCGTTTATAACTTCTGAAGAGATAGTCTCCACAGTTCCTTCCTCTCTAATCAGATTTTCACTCTTATAATCAGGGTCCAGGTTCAGGATCAGACCCCTTACTCAGCTATAACAAGGATGAGAAATGTGCAACGGGAAGGGGAACACCCCTGGAGCCAGCCCCCGAGAACCCGAGCCAGCAGACCGAGGGAGGAATTCCCTTTGACTGACTGGAAAAGCAGCCTGGAAACCTGAGATTCCTCTCCACACAATGGAATTACTTTTTTTATAAACATTTATTTTATTTTCATTGCAGGCAGCAGAGCAGCCCTTCCCTCGGTGACCCAGCACTGGCACAGCCGCTTCCTACCAGAAATACCCCTCACTTCCTATCACGGAGAAGATAATAGGGTGTACGTGCCTCGCAACAATTCCACGCACACACAGCTGTCTGGAAGTGTGCAGGTGGCTGCCATGGTAAAAAAAAAACACAAACATATAAATGTGTGATTATCACATAAGGTAATAAAAAAAATATTACAACAATTGTGTGTGTCCAAAACTTGGTTTCTGAACAACGAATCAGCCAAATTGACTGAAGCTGTTTACAATTACAGAGCACAGAACGATACGTTACACTCGTCTAGACATGAGGTTAATGTGTTTGGCTCACTGATCGACTGTTATTAATAAAGGAACAGGAAGAATCTCTTGAGAGGTTTGATAACTACAGTCACAGCAGCAAACTCACATGAGTGTGTCACAAAAACACACTGAACCTATTATGCGACTATGAGGACAGGGTGAGATTCGCAGCAATATGTCTTTGTCAAGGATTTGGCAGCGTGGAAGATTCTTGTCAAGACAGCAGTGACATTTATATTCAGGTGCTCTGAATCACTTCCTCTGGATTCAACGGAGGGCCAAAAAAGGATAAACCCATCCTCCGTGTTCAAACGATTACTCTTAAAGGGGCGCTCCGCCAGTTTTACACATAAAAAAGTCAGTTTGCTCATCAGGAGGAGTAAAACTCAGCATGTGAAAAGCAACCCGGTCTTACTCCCACATTGTCAAACACTGCAGCTCTGTCAGGGGCCCTCCGCTCCCCCAGGAAGCCGCTGTTTGTGTCCCACGTGAAACCAAAAAGAAAACAATTTCTCTGAAGTAACAGTTACGTTTTATTCATGTACTTAACTTATGTTTCTTAATCCTAACCAAGTAGTTTTTTGGCCTACGCTTCAAAAAAGCACTCTCAAGAAAGTAAAAATGTTTTTTGTCTAAAAAGAAAAATGATCTTGTTAATTAATCTATAAAAGCTAATACTGAGCTAGATTTAACCAGTAACAAGTTACAACAATGGTTTGCATAATATCCCAGCAAAGGAACAAGATTATTTTCCTTAATTTAAGAGTAAGACCACTTGCACAACTTCTCAGTTTAAGAGAAAGTTGTCTTGTTCCAGTGTTGTAAAAGTAGCAGATGTTTAGTTGAAAAAAGAATTTAAGTGCTTTAATTTAAGAAAAAGTCACTTTTTTATTGTGTTGTTTAAAGTAATCTAATTATCTATCTAATCTATCTACTATCTAATTAATTGTGTCTCTTATTTATCTTGGATTAACCTACAAATTCTTAAATTCAGCTCAATAAAGTGAGCAAAATATTATAAGAAAGTCTGTCATAAAAAACTAAGTTTTCATTGCTTGTAATAACAACTTCGGCCCCCTCTTAACCCAATGGCAGATATTTTTGCTCAATACAAGAAAATTTGATTATATTAAGGAATATTTGAATTGTTTCTCGGCTGTTGTTGCAGTGTAAACTGAACCAAACAACAGAAATTTCATAATGTAAACACATAACAAGCTTTATTTTGAAAATGTAACCGGACGTTGCATATTTATTATTCCTAACTTGCCCAGAAGTTGCTGATATTGCACAGTAATTGTTGCTAACATGACCCTGCAGGTCCAGAAAATGGCGGGCGAGGGGCAGCTACAGTGTCACATTTTGAAATGGGTCACTGACCCAGCTGCAGTATTTGATGAGCTGGGAGTGAGAATGTGTTGGTGAAAACAGTTGTATAATGCGGTCCTGGAGGGAGCTTTCTATAAGCCTGCGTTATAAACCGGGATAAGGGGTTTGAAAGACTGACAGAAAATGTCAAACGAAAATTATGCTATTGGTTGCATTGTGGGAATTGTAGGATTTTGGAGCTCAACACATACAAGGGAGTAATAAGTCAAAACATCTCGGGCTCTGCTGCTTCGATTTAGGCCATTCTTTCTCAAATCTCTTGTGAGGCCCCCAAAACTTTACGAATGTGCAATACTAAACCGGAGTTTAAAGGACCAACCCGGTGGTTTTGCATGTCTTATCCCATTTACTACATCTTATGTATCATATACCAAGTTTCTCTGTTGCTTCTCCAGATTTCGGGCAGTTCATAGCATTATGCATTTTGCGTGATAATGCTGCTGTGAGCAAAGACTGTATGAAAGCATAATAATGGTGCATTCAAGGACACTTACGTCTCACATCTAAGAGTAGGCTGCCACCAAATCCCTTTTAAAACATCAATTTAGTAAAATAGAAATGTTTTGCTTTTTGCTTTGATGTCTTAAAACAAAGATCACGAATGCAATGAACAGTTTGTTTTTCGGCAACTGACTCTCAAGTGAGACTGACCTTTCGTGCAACAATAATTGAACTTTAATTAATGAATAAAGGGGACAAGTTGATAATTATGATGAATTAACAATCTCAAATAAGTTTCAGGTCCCTGTAAGTTGATACTGATTGTGTACTGAGACAGAAGGTAGAAAAATCAACCCCCATAACTTTTCTATTTGTGTTTTACAGATAATGGGCTAAAACATGCAAAGCCACTGGTTTTGCCCTTTATTTTAGCTGCGTAATACATCATAGATAAATGGGTAAACTCATCTGTGCGATATTCATGTGGAGTGCATTAAGAGAATGAATTCTTCTCCTTAAATGAGGCTTGACTTGAGTGAATTAAACCTAAAATCCTGGAGACTTTAGCGTCACCTTCATCAGGATCAGTAGCACCTCTGTTATGGTAACAGTAGGATTACAATGGTCTATTTTTCTGTGTATACGGTAATGCAAGATGCTTTCTACCAGAGCTCATCATCAGCCACCAACTATGTGAATGTGAGAATATGACCAATATTACCAAAAGACATAG